AGTTAAAGGTGTCTGCTCTGTAATCCACCAGTAAAGATGTCCGCTCTGCAATCCACCAGTAAAGATGTCCGCTCTGTAATCCACAAGTAAAAGGTGTCCACTCTGTAATCCAACAGTAAAGATGTTCGCTCTGTAATCCACCAGTAAAGATGTCCGCTCTGTAATCCACCAGTAAAAGGTGTCCACTCTGCAATCCACCAGTAAAGATGTCCGCTCTGTAATCCACCAGTAAAGGTGTCAGCTCTGTAATCCACCAGTAAAGGTGTCCGCTCTGTAATCCACCAGTAAATGTGTCAGCTCTGTAATCCACCAGTTAAAGGTGTCCACTCTGTAATCCAACAGTAAAGATGTCCACTCTGTAATCCAACAGTAAAGATGTCCGCTCTGTAATCCACCAGTAAAGATGTCCGCTCTGCAATCCACCAGTAAAAGGTGACCACTCTGCAATCCACCAGTAAAAGTGTCCGCTCTGTTACCCACCAGTAAAGGTGACCACTCTGCAATCCACCAGTAAAGATGTCCGCTCTGTAACCCACCAGTAAAGGTGACCACTCTGCAATCCACCAGTAAAGATGTCCGCTCTGTAATCCACCAGTAAAGATGTCCGCTCTGAAATCCACCAGTAAAGATGTCCGCTCTGCAATCCACCAGTAAATATGTCCGCTCTGTAAACCACCAGTAAAGGTGTCCGCTCTAGTTCCATAGTGTATGACCTTCCACTTGGAAATGATTTCATTCCGGTAAAATCAATAGTTTCAAATTATCGTTTATATTTATACTCGATCGGGTTTACGAGACAGCTTTGAATGACAGTTCAACCATTCTCGTGAGCCAGATCATTGGATTACGACATAAAACAAAACCGAAACTGATAAACTAGATCTTGGAAGCTGTTGACTTCACCAAGCTGATGCTCATTGCCAAGTTGTATTGTGACTGTAAGTGTCTCTCGTGACTAGATCGAGCGTGACTAGGTTATGTGACTAGAGTCAAGGATGACTTGGATAAAACGTGACAAGGGACTAGCGGTCCGTGATGATATAACTAGCATTTCGTCACTAGAGGACTATGTTCGTGACATGGACTTATTGTGTCTCGTGACTATATATATATAGAACTAGCGTTAACGTCGCCAGGGATCCGGGACTAGCGTCTAACGTCAATAGGGATTAATGTCGAATATAACTATTAGACCACTGAT